GAAGTTGTACGTTGAGTTTCACTAACCAGAAAAAAATGAAACGTGTGCCAAGTTAGGGGCGTTTAAAAAAAAAAATCTGTAATGGCCCCCCTTTTCCCGGGCTGTCTTCATTCATCATGTCTCCACTTTACTCCCAGTCTCTAACCAATTCTCATGTTCCGTTTATCAAAACCTTGCCAACGTCGCGTGCTATAATTTGATTTGAATTATTGCAGGCGGCCATCTCTCTAAACATAACTGTGCATGCTTAGATGATGCTCCGTCATTGCAAGGGGCCCAACATAAGCCACATGAGTGTAGGTTGAGTTGTGGCCTGTTATAATATTACAAGTGTCGGAAATTGTTATATAATGATGTCCTAGTATTCAATCTTCCAAACAAGCTCCCGCCCCCCCCCCCCTTCAGCCCCTCCCCTCCCCTGTAAATCGATACTGTTTGGTTTGTTTGCACTCAAATTATTGAAATAGACGAGCTCAAACAATAATATATTATGAGAGTTTCGTAGTTTTAGCGTATGCACAAAAGAAATACGCTAATTTAACAATCTTTTTATGCATGTCGTGCTTATGAATTCTCGCAATTTTGCTTTGAATGTGTAAATAAGAATAAATAAGTGTCGCTTATCCCTTATTCATTTATATGAGATTGGCACCATCTGAGTAGTAGAAAAAGTGCGTATGATAGTGTCCTATGTTGTATTACGTGCATTTGTATGAAAAGTAACTGTTACTGATAGAGATTCAAGGGTTATAGGTGTAAGTCATTGATCGGAGAGCAATGCTGATTTTTGAAATAATGGTGTTGATGAGTGATATGTGGGATTGTGTTTAAGTAATGTTAGTGTTAGTCATATCTTCCTCTGCTCCAATGAATCACGAGGGACGTGGGCACCCAATAAATAACTGTCATTTTACGTACCTGGTGTTCTCGAGTTTTAGTCTTGTCGGTGACCTGAAGGATAAACAAAAATTAAAGCAATGGGATTAAAATATCATTTATAGAACCGACCAAGTACACACTCTGTCTGTCTGTCTGTCTGTCTGTCTGTCTGTCTGTCTGTCTGTCTGTCTGTCTATCTGTCTGTCTGTCTGTCTGTCTGTCTATTTTCTCTGTCTTTTTCCTTTCTCTCAGTACCTCTATTTCACTCAAAAACTCTTTTCTTTCGTTTTCTTTCTTTAACTTTTGCTGTCTGTATGTCAGTCTCTGTCCCTCCCTCTCCCTCTCGCTAACACACACACACTATCTCTCTCTCTCTCTCTTTTTTTTTCTCTCACTCTCTCTCTCTCTCTCTCTCTCTCTCTCTCTCTCTCTCTCTTTCTGTCTGTCTCTCCATTTTCTGTGCACAAGCAAGAACGAAATATCATGCTTCTAGACTCGAGTTCTACCTAACATCCTCAACACCTCCCTCCCTCCTCCCACCCCCACCTCACCCCCGCCCAACTCCACCAACCCACCTTTCCACCTCACCATTGTATCTGGTCATTATCAAATATCGCCGGGTAACTTTTGTTCGCGTCTCAACGACCCAACAGACAGACCGCTATTCACCACGGTCGCCTCATACAGACGCAAAACGGCCAATTTGGGCCACGATATTAGCACAAAGTGAAGCCCCCGGGGCCTGAATGGGACGCTAATCTAGAAATATACATTGCTTCACCCACAATGCCTCGGGCGAACACGCTCACAAGAAGTGCTGCCATATTATTAGCAGTCAGAGATATGGAATAATGACGTCACGAACACCTCTCTGGGTCTATTTCTGGAAGTACGATGGTTGTAGTACAGAAGATTGTGGGCCTTTAGCACGGAACAAGAGAAGAATGGCAATATAAGTACTTGTGGGATGCATATAGACCTTTGAACTTTCTAAAAAAAAATTGGGGAGCTAGTTCAATTTGTACGAAGAAAATGATGAAAATAAAACTGATTATTATCTTTTAGTAAGCAATAGTACTGGGTGAGTGCGTCTATGGGGGCGTGTGGTGTGTGTGTGTTTGTGTGCGTTTGTGTATGTATGTGTGTGAGTTTGTGTGCGTGTGTGTATGTGAGTGTAAGAGAAGGAGAGAGAGAGAAAAAGAAAGAGAGAGAGAGAGAGAGAGAGAGAGAGAGAGAGAGAGAGAGAGAGAGAGTGAAATAGAGAGATTATGATGTGTGTTTTTGTGTATGTGTCTTGAGGGAGTCCCTACTCCTTTCAATTTGTGCAGTAGCGAGCTAATTCTTTCCCTACCCTTTTGCTCCATATAATTTTATTTACTTTGATTGGCTCCAAACATTCACTAGTGCAGAGCAGCCATCTTCTTCAAGATGAGGCAAAAGTTACGAACTTTTTTAACAGAAACAACCCCCCCCTCTCCCCTCAGGGCAGTGCTACGGACTGAAGTTGTCTTTAGGCCCTTCCCAAAGGGGAGGCATTATATTAACATGTTCTTATGCACGGTAGAATTGTAAATTGGCTGATTTACCAATGTCATGCTCATACTGTGCCGGAACATCATAGTGGGAACTTCTGCTTTTTCTTTCCTCGTCCTTCCTTTTGTCATTTCCTCTACTTCTTTTGTATGTGTGTCCCTCTCTTGTGAATTGCTATTTCAGAGGTGCCTTGAAAGTTAAAGTAGATTTTGTGCTGTTGAAGCTAGAAAGGTGAGCAGAGTAAGCCTGATCCCCCGTCTAAACTTCTCTGTTGACATTCACCCCTTGGCGCTCATTTGACCTTATGCAGTTGCCAGCACCATAAAACCTTACTAAAACAACCAAACTATCAGAAAAAGCGGCACCACAGAGGAGGGCGAGGGAGAGTTAGAAAAAAATGAAGCAAGTTAGAAAAAAAGAGCTATGTGATTGGGCACATTCGAGAGTATGTCAGCGAATTGCCTGTTTCCGGAGGAGAATACGACCACCAAAAAGAGACAACGTTAGGATAGCAAAGGCAAAATCCCTCTGTCCCCAAAAATAAATACATTTTACAATGACGGAGATAAATTTAGGTGGAAGGAGCGGTCGCTCAAAAAACAAATCGATGTCTATGTGTTTACACGAGTGGTCTGGCAAATCCAAGAACAGAAAAAGGTAGCAAGAGCATTGTTCCCAAAAAGCAACGGCTTTTAAAACAGTAAACCAGTGGTACTGTCTGGTCTTCACTTAGACAGAAAGGTCAAGGCTACTCCAGATCGTGAGGGTTAGCTGAGCATGCATTTGCGTGAAATTCGAATTGTTCTACGCTGTAAATTGTAGACAATGTGAGAGACAGTTTTCGGTTTCCCAGTCTTTTAAGAGAGAACAGTTTGACAGACAATCTTTACAAGAAGACGCACACCACAGATGATTTTGGGACTGTTGTATTAAGGAAATATACGCGTGAGAGCGGGGGGGGGGGGGGGTTATTCTACACTCTCCATAGAATAGCCCAAAATAGGAGTACCTGCAGTTACAATTTTTATCTCTGCAACATTGGACTTATATTTGTAAATGGCAGAACTATCCTGACAATATTGCCGAAAATAAAGTGAACAGCCTCCAAGCGTAACCATGTACATGGCAATCAGGTACACAAATCTAAGACTGTATAGGTGTAACACACCCTTGCAACACCTTGTATCGTAAAGGCAGGACCTTCCAATACATCTAAAATGTTCATCTGCGAAAGGACACACTAGCTTGGGATCAACTTGAAACGAAGACTACACGGGAAAAACGACGCTAGTCACAAACTGAAAATCGTGAGGGTACCAATTTTGAACACTTGTTGACTAAAACTGTTTTTCTGTTCAACTGTTGTTTGATTATTGTTGTTAGGCTTCCCGTTCAACAACACTTAACAATAAACCATAAGTCAAACAAATTATGAAGTTATGAGTCCATAAGCTTTTAAAATTGGCACCCTCACAAGTTCCAGTTTGAGTATTTTTGTTGGGGCAGCGTTCTACGAACTGACTAGAAAAAATACAGGAATGTGTTCTGGACTTTGGCAGTTGCTATAAGTGTTGCCATCTTCACGTGGGTGAGAAAGACCATATTATTATTATTATTATTATTATTATTATTATTATGGGTAGGCGGCAGTTCCCAAACATTGTTAAATGACTTTTCTACATTTTTCTCGGTAGTTTGGATATTCATGCATTGGCTATGACAGTAGCATGCAGAGTGTCTAAACATAAAATAGTACCCGTTCAAAGGGCATTATTAGCTTTGTTTCTCCGAAACTTTCTCAGCATTGTCAGATATCCATCTGCCTTGACTACCTTGGTTTTACAGTCTTTGTCCTGAAACTTGAAAGGGCCGATCATGCTCCATGTAGCAGAACTTTTTAATCTATAGAAGTAATTCTTTTTTAAACCAATTTTTTAAAATTAGATATTTCTCGAACGTGCCAATTGATTTTCTTCACGTTTAAAAACTTAATGCCCTCTAATTGAATTTTGTTTGATGGAAGATTTGTGAACAATAAATAGTTCATATGCAAAAGTTATTGCCCTTAAAGTGGGTCGTCTTTTTTTTTTCTCGACACACTGTGCCAGTTTTCTACAAGTAAAAGTTCAATCAATTCAAACGTAAGAGGGTAAGATTTACATTCAGAGCTTGTGTCCTTGAAGACGTTTGTAAAGCTAAGGACAGAAACAATAAAGAATTTATATCTAAGCAAACTTGAGAACCTTAATCTACAGTTAAAAAGAGAGGCTTTAATAAGCAAAAATGCGTGAGATTTTTCCATCAATGTATACGCTTCAAAGCTTTAATGGTATTACTACAAAGCCAATTAACATTTGCAGAAAACTCATTATCACATAGAACACACAACGCAGAACTATATGGCATCGTAAAGATTAAACAACAACAACAATTAGCTCAGATGAATAGGTCAAAGAAGGCTCAAAGGAAAAGTAGTTTGCCCGAAAATATTCCGTCCGCAGATGAATTGGTACAGTTCTTCGCTTTGCACTCAAACAACTTTCGTATACGTTAGGTGATTTATCGAGTATCGCTGTCTTTTGACTTAGATTGATCTTTAAAAAAAGCTCAACAACATTTTTTTGAAATTACCCAAATGTTGAAAGCGTGAAACAGCGGCTAAAGTTCTCCATTAAAGTAACGATGGCGAGTTACTTTATAGTACGAGTACCCCTGTGTGCTAAGAATACATTTGTGTAGGTCCTCAGTTATATTATAGGAACCCACCGATATTCACACGCATACACATGCACACACACACACACACACACACACTCACACACACAGACACACACACACACACACACACACACACACACACACACACATACACACATACACACAAACACGACATGCACACACACATGCACACATACACTTACTCTCATACACATGCACACACATACACACATACACATGCACACACGCACACACATACTCTCTCTCACACACACAGACACTCACACACACACACACACACACTCGCACACACACTCATACACACACACGCACGCACACTCATACACACGCATGCGCACACATACTTACATAATAATATTTTTCCTTTTCATGAATTTTTTGGAATAAATGAATAATATTATGCTCGACTGCACAATGTGACAATGTAAAAGGGTTATGAAAAACTATTCAGAACCAAGGGAGTCCACTCTTGACTTGTTACACTAGTTACAGTACGTAAACACACACAGTGC